ATCATCGATAAACATTCAGTTATATCTGATTTGCATAGACAGAGTGAATTGAGGAGAATAAGAGAAAATTTAGAAGAGAAGCAAATATATATATATGAAAAGGATTTTAGAAAGAAAACAAAAAAGGTTGAATAACCTAAATTTTTCGCAAAAATAAAATTGAAAAAACTTCAATTCCACAAATCATGAAATTCAACAATTAATTGGACAAGAACAAGATTATATATAAAAGATGATTTTTGGAAGTATCCATGAAAAAACATATTGAATTACGGAGAAGAATTTAAAATTAGGAAGAGAATCAAACATAGGTATGAAAAGAATTCTAGAAAGAGAAAAATGAGACAAAAAAAGAGAAGAACTCTATTTTAAAATGGTTGACAAAATAAAAAAAGAGATAGAATAGAAAAAATAAAACAATAATTTTTTTTTCAAGAAAAAAAACAACAACAATCAACCGTGTGTGTAGAGAAAAATAAGGAGAACAAAAATACATTTTTTAAGAAAAAGAAAATAACTATTAAATGTCAAATAAATAAAACAAAGTCTTTTTCTTGCTAAAAAATTAAAAATGGGTTAGTTATTGCTAATTTAATCAATAGGGTGTTTCTTTTCTTTTTAGAAAGATGTATGTATAGCTCTCTCTCTCCCTTTTCTTTTTCCTTAATACATTGATAATTTTTTTAATTTATCAATAAATTTTATTATGATATCATCAATTTCTTAAATAAGTCAGTAATTTTATTTTGATATTCAAATTATGATATCTCGAATTAAATATATGAACATATGATAAAATATTTCTATAAAATAATATTTTTATCTCAAAATTTTGCGAATATTTTCAAAGGTCCATTACATAGTCATAGTCATATAAATATGTCACGCTTTTAATTATATGCATTAGTATCAATTGGAAACACCTCAGGTTTTATGACTTATTAAGCTAATACATATATAATTATAGAAGATAATATAATTTAAGTGTTTAATTTATTTATAGAATTAACTTTTGACACACATAAAAACTTTTTAAATAAATCGAAGATATTTAATATAAACATGCACTTGATCATATATTTAAGGGGAACTTTCACATATAGACACTCAAAAATAGCCCAATTACTCTCCATATCTATAATTTGATAATTACAATTCGTAGCTATATGTTATAGGGAGGAGAGAGGAGAGCGAGACTGGGAGAGAGAGGAGAGAGGCGAGAGAGAGGGGGCAAAGAGTGGGAGAAAGGTGAATTGTATATGTATATAGGTTAGATAATTGTATATTATACATATGTATTTGTATATATGGCAAGCGAGATTGGGAGAGGGAGGAGAGAGGCGAGCGAGAGAGGGCAGAGAGTGGGAGAGAGGTGAATTGTATATGTATATAGGTTAGATAATTGTATATTATACATATGCATTTGTATATATGGCAGACGAGATTGGGAGAGGGAGGAGAGAGGCGAGCGAGAGAGGGCAGAGAGTGGGAGAGATGTGAATTGTATATGTATATAGGTTAGATAATTGTATATTATACATATGTATTTGTATATATGGCAAGCGAGATTGGGAGAGGGAGGAGAGAGGCGAGCGAGAGAGGGCAGAGAGTGGGAGAGAGGTGAATTGTATATGTATATAGGTTAGATAATTGTATATTATACATATGTATTTTGTATATTCTGGCGAATTTATACATATACAAACGTGACTAATTTATACAAACTCGAAGTCAACCCGCGTAATTAATGTATAATGTTAGTCGTGAGTGATAATTATAGCAAACTATAACTATAATGAGTAATTAAGTAGTATAAATTTGCTTAACCGCGTAATTTTCCCTATATTTAAATATTTAATCAGAATAAGTTAATACTCATATGTGTAGATAAAATTTTAAGATAATTCAATGGAAGTTTGACTATATTTTATTTTACGTATTTTTTTTTCAAATTATAATTAAGAAGACGTTTGTCCCCACTTGAAGTAAGATTCGTAATTTTACTTTTGTGGAATACTAGTACCTAGATATTTAACTTGTCCGACAAAGAAATAAATGTTTATTGACCAGATCCCCCAACCAAGAATCAAAAATTTAATTTATACACTCTCCCCAATTGTATTATTACATTATCTGACATTCTGACTTAACTATTTGTTTCATTTTTTTAAAAGCTATTTTTGTTTTGTTTAAGTGAACCAGGACAGATATTTTAAAAAAATTGCTCCATCAGACCAACTTCAACTAACCTAGTCAACTTGACAATTTTTATATACCACAGATATTTTAAAGCGAGTGTTTTAGATCGATATATATATTTATTTATTTATTTTTATAGTAAATTAAAAAATATATATAATGTATTAATGTATTTAATCATATGATTTTAATTTTTAAACATGTTATATGAAAAATTAAAATAAAAAATTTGGCAAAAATGATTAAAATTATTCTTTTCATTTCATTTTATGTGACACTTTTTGGATTACGTATGAGATTCAAACAAATCTATTTTTGACCGTAAGTTTTTCATAGATTTTGTAAACATTTTGAATTATCAATTATTATGACTTATAGTACTTTTTACGTAGTTTACAAGTCTATAAAATTCATTTTAAATTTTTTGAAGATTTCATGCGTAAATTGTCGGTCAAACTTTAACTGTTTGACTCTCGAAAAATGAAAAGTGTCTCATAAATTGAGATAGTAAGAGTACTTTTTTTAACAGACTAAAAAAAAAAAAGATAAATAAATTGAAATGGAGAGTATAATATACCAAATGTTTAACAGAAGAAAAAGTAATATTTTGAACTGAGTTGTATAGAATAATCTTGATGAAATCAGTTTAAAGGATTTTAATAGTAGCACCGACAGAATATAAAAATATACATATAGTACTTAGTAGCAAGTAGTGGTTTTAAATAAAGTAAAATAAAATTAGAGATACTTAAGTATGAGTGGTGGTGTCACGTTGAATGTTTTTGCTCCATGCAGAGGGAACATGGACTATCATATATTGCACGTGTTCTTGTTGTGTTTTGTATGGTATTCATATTGAATTTGATTAAATTTAAATTTTTGATGAAAAGTCTTATATTAGGGATAAAATATTTTTCAATAAAGGCGATTTTATGTCAAAAAAACTTAAATTCAAAATCTTTAATTAAAAATAAAAAAATACTTACTACTTCATCACACAACCTTTGTTGGTCATGCTTGTGTCAAATCCTCCCACAAACAACCAACCTCTCTTTATTTTGTAGATCATGTGTTTCAGTTTGGGAAGTTACAATTGGCACAAAATTTAAACATAATAAAAACTTTTTTATCTCATTGTCTCAAACTAAAAATATATAGAATGTATCAAAATATTTTTTAATTTTGTGATTTTTAAATATACTGATCTGATTCTTTTCCATTTCTCTTCTCTTCCTTTTTTCCAAGTTTTTGCTTGGATTGGTGACTAAGATTTAATTGACCAAAGTCCTAACCATGGTTTAGAACTAATTAAGATAATAAATACATTACATAGTTTTGGTCAATTACTTAATCATCAAATTTCCTCGATAGTTTAGGTCAATTACTTAATCATCAAATTTCCTCGAAAGAATTTGAGGAAAATGGAGTGGAGCTAAAAGCACGAAACCTTAAACATGCCAAACTATTCTTTTTTATTTTATTTTTATAAATAGATAAAAATAAATAGTAATAAGACAAACAAATTAAAAGAGATATAGTACCATTTTTCAATAACTTTGGATTCTCTTATATATTTTTCTGCCGTAGTTTAGACTTTTATAAGATTACGCTATCGGTACAACAGAAAGAGAATCAGTACAAATAGTGACGCAGAGGAAATGAATGAAGAACTTCAATTATTTTATTTTATTTGAAAAAATTATACTGCATGAATAATATATATATAATAAGTATCCTAATTCCTAACTATATAGTTAAAAGGAGCATGTTACAAAAATAATTTCAACTTTAATAATAAAAACGACCATTTTAACCTTAAAATAACTCAGTTAGTCGATTATCTAATTTTCCACCCATTATAATTCTCTCACCAGTCCACTAGCCCTATCTAGACTCTAGGGTATAAAGTCTTTCTTTTTTAGAAAAATAAAAAAAGAAGACCTACAAGGAGTCATAAAGTTTATATTTAATTCTTCGGTACTGTCAAGAGTGTTGTTAGTTAAATACTCTATTTTCCAGTATAAGAAAAGAAATTAATTACTTTGTAAGTTTGGATTTTGTTTACTTGAATAAAGCAACAAACAAAATTTCAATGTAATTAATTGAATATAATGATGTTACTACAAAGTAGTCGCTTTAATCTAGATCTTTAACATTTACTTCCACTTCATATTTATGTGACATAGTTTAAATTTCGTCAATGACAATAATTTTTTTTTTTTAATTATAATTTATCATATCTTTTAAATTGTTAATTTCGTGATTAATAGGGCTTTTTATGTAATTTCTAAGTGTGTAAATTATTTTTTCAAAAAACTGAAAGATTTCATATATGAATATCATTATAGAGTATATTACAAATTTTGCGATGATCATAGAATACCTAGTTTTCTCTAGCTCTTATTTTCTTCATGCTTGTTAATTAGTAGATATTTGTTTCCTCATAGGATTGACAAGATAAAACTTAACCCCCTTACTTGTACTTATTTCTATTGGAAAAAAAAAGAATACACGATCAAAAAAAAAAATTGACTCTCAAAATTCGAACTATGTCATATAAACCTAGACACCATAGGAGTAAACAAAATGAAAAATCTCAAGTGAGTTTGATTAATTAAACTTTTAATTTATTGATGATGCTTCAACTCCCCGTAATCTCATTCCTCTCCCCCCAATTTTTAAAAATAAAATAAGCATATTCCTTAATGGAGAAAAAAAACTACTATAATTCTTTTACTTTAATTTCAGCCTAAGCAAGTCCCAGTTTAGAGCCCAAAAAAAAAGTGTCACTATCTTGTCTGTACATAAAAGCAGAGCAGAGACAGCTCACTCGTTAGGCAATTTCAACATCTTCTGATCTCTTCATTTAGATTAGTCTAAAGTGAAGAAAATAAAGTGAAAGAAATAAGAGTTTCCACTAATAGAAAAATAAAAGTAACTTAATTTGTTTAGATCTGTTATTTCATCTACATTTTCTAATTTTAGTGTTACATTTAGAGAAACAGAGCAAAGAAATTTGAAGATGAGGAGCTTGTGGTGGTCTTTATTGGTAGTGCAAATCTTATTCTTATTGGGTTTTTCCAATGGAGAAAGTCCATATAGATGGTATAATTGGAATATTACATATGGTGATATTTATCCTCTTGGTGTTAAGCAACAGGTACTATCAAGAAATGCTTTGGATTTGAAGTATGTGTATTTTTTTTAATTTTTAATTTTAATGTGAGGTAATTTGTGTATATTTCAGGGGATATTGATAAATGGGCAATTTCCAGGACCTCAAATTGATAGTGTTACTAATGATAACTTGATTATCAATGTTTTCAACAGTTTGGATGAACCTTTTTTGTTGTCATGGTGAGTACTATTTATCTTCCTATGAATATTTGAATGAGCATTTTACTTTGGCATAGTAGATAAATGTGTCATTTAACTTAGTTTCAGCTCGTGTATATATATATATGCTCTACAGACTACAACTTTGATTGTGCATACTTAGATTTGTATTAACTTGAACAAGTAAACATATGTGTTGTTCTACATAGCAATATGTATCTTATGTGGTGCCTCATGTGTATTATGTCACGCAGGACGTGTGTTTCAACTTGTTCAATTTTATATAAGTTTAAATGTTTACCTTTTTACTTTTATGTAAACTACTTTATATGTAGATTTTATAACCTTACTCTAAGTACTCCGACTTTGAGAGTGTATATCTAAACATTTAACTTGGTCTCAATTGACAGTTAAATACCTTAACTTGTCCATTTTGTGTCTTGTAGACATTTGATGCTGACATAATACATAAATTTTGGAGGTGTTTAGATGATTATTTTGTAAGTTGGGAGTGTTTAATTGACACAGTGACAGTGGAGATGAGTTGAGATGTCTAGACGTGCATACTCAAAGTTGAAGCGTTTACTTGTCGGTGGAGGCAAGTTTGAGGGTAAACTAGGACAATTATTTTGCTATATCAGTGTCTGAGTTGCTGTCTTAATGTAGCTGTTATATTAAATAATATGTTCTTACCATTATATCATATTATAATGTAGTCTTGACCAATTTTCAATTCTCTGCATAAGGTATAACTTAATTATGAAGAAATGACTTTCACTTTAAGGAATAACAACCAGATCTAGAACTTGTCGAAGTCTTGAATAACATATTCATCGTTTGAGATTCTCTAATGTGTAGTAATGACTACGCGATTTGGAACAATTTGATTGTTTTTCAATTGGTATTTATGCCTCTTTATTTATTTCAAGTTTGTCATCTGCCTGAAGTTCCAGCATGTAGCTAATAAAAACACGATAATCGACTATTGGACAGGAATGGAATTCAACAGAGGAGGAACTCATGGCAAGATGGAGTATATGGGACTAACTGTCCGATCCCACCAGGCCAAAACTTCACATATGTTCTACAAGTGAAGGATCAGATTGGAAGTTTCTTTTATTTCCCTTCATTGGCTATGCACAAAGCTGCTGGAGGCTATGGTGGCATTATAATACGTAGTCGTCCGCTGATTCCTATTCCTTTTCCTCCACCTACTGGAGATTACACCATATTGGTTGGTGACTGGTTCAAGCAAAATCACACTGTGAGTTAGTGTATAAAAACATATTCTTGAGAAATTTTGTGGATTCGTTAACTGACTGTGAATCTTATTGCACGTATCACAGGATCTCAAGGCAATTTTAGATGGAGGAAATGATCTTCCCTTCCCTGATGGTCTTCTAGTGAACGGTCGTGGATCAAATGGTTTAACTTTCACAGTTGATCAAGGTGATCAATCTGTTTATTGCAGCAAAGTTCGTTTGCAAAGTAGACAATGCTTATATGTGATACTGACGATAAACTCTTCTGATAAATTTTGTTTCCAGGTAGGACTTACAGATTCAGGATTTCCAATGTTGGACTCACAACAGCTATAAATTTTAGAATCCAGGGGCATAAGATGGTCTTAGTTGAAGCGGAAGGGACTCACACACTGCAGAACACCTATGAGTCACTTGATATCCATTTGGGCCAGTCCTATTCTGTATTGGTCACAATGGACCAACCAGGACAGGACTATTACATTGTCGCCTCAACGCGTTTCACTTCACCAGTGCTAACAGCAACATCAATTCTTCACTACAGCAACTCAGCGGGAGGTGTTTCTGGTCCTCCCCCAGGTGGACCAACAATTGAGATTGATTGGTCTCTCAATCAGGCTCGATCTGTTAGGTACATTGCGAATCAGGAACTGCCTGCATTGTTGTACTTTTGTTCTTTTTGATTATATGCCATTTCTGTGTGCAGGCAAAATTTGACAGCAAGTGGTCCAAGGCCTAATCCACAAGGTTCTTATCACTATGGGTTGGTTAACACCACGCGGACAATTAGACTGGCAAATTCTGCTCCGATGATTAATGGTAAAAAGAGGTATGCAGTCAACAGTGTGTCATTCATTCCAGCAGACACACCACTCAAACTAGCAGACTACTTCAAGATTCCAGGGGTATTTAACCTTGGAAGCATCCAAGACTACCCCACTGGAGGTGGTGGTTATCTCCAGACCTCTGTCTTGGCTGCTGATTTCAGAGCCTACGTAGAAATTGTGTTCGAGAATCCAGAAGACACTGTTCAGTCATGGCACATTGATGGCCATATCTTCTTTGTTGTAGGGTAAGTTTTGTTCACTTCAACTCAATTCATCCAATTTCATCAGAGCCGGGAATGTAGAAAGGAAAAGAAACAAAAATCAAAGGAGCTGTCTTTGACGGTTATCTCTCTGAGTTCAACTTTCATACAGTGACATCAGGTCGCATAAAATATAACTACATGTAACTGTTACTAATAAGTGAGATTAGTAACATGAAATTTGAGATAAATTAAACTCTATGCATTTATAACGCCGATTGGATGAACAGGATGGATGATGGACAATGGTCAGCTGCAAGCAGATTGAACTACAACATAAGAGATGGAATTTCACGTTGTACAATTCAGGTATTTCCGACTACAACGTTGATTATCTTCCTTTTATATCTGTTTTTAACATTTCATTCATTTGGTGATCAACAGGTATATCCAAGATCATGGACAGCTTTATACATGCCATTAGACAATGTGGGAATGTGGAACATTAGATCAGAGAATTGGGCTCGCCAATACTTAGGCCAGCAATTCTACCTTCGCGTTTATTCACCTGTCAATTCATGGAGAGATGAGTATCCAATTCCAATAGGTGCTCTTCTCTGTGGCCGTGCATCTGGACGCAAGACTCGTCCACTCTAAGGAACGAATTCTATCAGCTTAACCAGTCACGAAAGGGTGACTGATCGATCTTCGAAGAGTTATGGCAAACAATTTTAAAGGGGAAGTAGCAGAAAACTGCTCTTACTCTGATCAGCACTTGTCTTTTTTTGTTTATCATTTCATTTTAGGATTACTTGTGAGATTATTGGTTGCAGCATGAGAAGAAAAGTAATCTCTATTCATTTTGTAAAACTCAATTCATGAAGAATCCATTCTTGATTATCAGCTAATTCTTGTTTAAGGCTCTGAAATATGCTCAATTTTCAATCTTTGTTTACTATGACACTACAAGACAATGATACAATAGAAAAATAGGAAAAAAGGACAAATATACCCGAACTATGGTAAATGGTATGCATATATCTTCTGTCATACTTTTGGGATATTGGTGCCTCTGCCGTCCAAAAATTAGAGCATGTATGCCCTCCACTCTAATGGAAGACTAAATAGGGAGACGTGACACAATCTTATCCATCGATTTGATATTTAATAAATGTCGGGTCGGTGGATAAGATTATGACACGTGTATGTCTGTTAGTATAAATTATATATATGCTCTAATTTTTGGACGGTAGGGGACACCAATGTCTCCAAAGTATGACGGAGGGTATTTGCATACTATTTAGGATAGTTTAGTGGTATATTTATCCTTTTTTCCTAGAAAAATTAAAACTTTTTTGTTTTAATTAATGATAAAAGAAATTTAATTCATGACTTTTGAAAATGATATACTACTATCAATTGTTTTCTTTCTAGTTTCATCTCTTCGTTTACCTCCTCCATTCAATTAACTTTGATCTTATTTTATTTTATCCAATTTTTAAAATACAATGACTTCTTTTTCAATATAGAAATAAAATTTAATTAATTTAAAATTTTATTTTATCCTTCATATTTTTTTTTTGTTAGTACATTATAGACTATAAATTTATACATTTAAAATTTGAATAGTTATAGTAAAGTCGGCAGCTTTAGTGAAATGAGGTAAGCATTAAGCATAGCAAGAGATGTGTTCGTAGGAAAGGGTGACACCTTGTATTTCACAATACGCTATTCAAATTTCAAGGCAATTAATAATGAACCATCAATCATAGTTTCACCGACAATACTAGCAAAAAAGACTGCAAATTAAAGCTTTGTAAAGCGTGTCAAAAGAAATAGTTAGGCAAAAGTAAAGTGGGGAGCGGCCTGGTCTGTCTTCATACTTCCTTCTTAAGTTAACTCTACTCATACAAAAGTACTACTCTCTTCACAAATTATTCACACACACAAAAAAAAATGAAAAGAGGATGGAGGTCTTGGTTGCCTTTAATGGCTATGGTGATGATGTTTCTTCATGTAAATTTTATTCATGGGGAGGACCCTTATAGGTTCTACACTTGGAATGTTACATATGGGGATATTTACCCTCTTGGTGTCAAACAACAGGTACCCTCTTTTCCTTTCTGTTGTTCGGATTTTTCAAAAATATTGTTCGCACCTATGTCGACTTCTTAAAAAATGCACTATTTTTGGAGGATGCCAGACATGAACATCTAGTCGTATAACAATGATTTTAGTTAGCTATGTAAAGTTGATTGACTGTCTTTCTCTGTTTCACTCTGTTCCCCCAACAGAGGAATATAGGATCTCCTCTGAGGAATATTTGTTGTTTAAAAATGGCAGGGGATATTGATAAATGGGCAATTTCCAGGACCACCTATTCAGTGTGTGACCAATGACAACTTGATTATCAATGTTTTCAACAATTTGGATGATTCCTTTCTCATTTCCTGGTAATTTCTCTTGCTTTCTGTTCTTTGATTTCACTAATTGATTGGTTTCCCCTTGCTTAATATGATCTTTTCTTGTTTTGTGGTAGTAATTATTCTGGTGTTAAGGGTGCACTTTTATGTATGCAATAAGTTAATTAATATATACAAATATAAATGCTTACGATGATCCTGATAGTTTCCCATCATATTGGCTTGTGCTACGGATATGTTCTGTTGAATTAATGATGCTGATTCAGGAATGGTGTCGAGCAGAGGAGAAATTCATGGCAGGATGGAGTCTATGGTACTAATTGTCCCATTCCACCAGGCAAAAACTTCACTTATGTTCTCCAAGTCAAAGATCAGATTGGTAGTTTCCACTACTTTCCTTCCCTTGCTTTCCACAAAGCAGCAGGAGGATTCGGTAGCATAAATATCGCCAGTCGTTCCGTGATTCCTGTTCCTTTTCCTCCTCCTGCTGGAGAGTTCACCATACTCACTGGAGATTGGTTCAAACAAAACCACAGTGTGAGTTTTTCCCCTTCCAAGATATCGTTTGCTTCTTATCGTTAAGTTTAGTCTCTGAGGGAACATTTACTTCTTCATTTTCTGATTTTCAATGTGCTTATTTGCATTTTATAGGACCTCAAAGCAATTTTGGATGGTGGACATGATCTTCCCTTCCCTGACGGGATTCTTATTAATGGACGTGGATCAAATGGTTATACGTTCACCGTTGATCAAGGTCACCCTTTAATCATTGCATAGTCCTGACAAATTTTTTGGTGTGTTCTATTTGTTCTGTTAGTCTGATATATGTACTTTTTGGGGGGTTCCAGGCAAGATTTACAGATTCCGGATATCAAACGTTGGTCTCACGACTTCCGTTAATTTCAGAATCCAGGGGCATAAGATGATGGTAGTTGAAGTAGAAGGGACTCACACTGTGCAAAATACATATGATTCTCTTGATATCCATTTGGGACAGTCCTACTCTGTGTTGTTAACAGCAGATCAACCTGCACAAGATTACTATATTGCTGTCTCGACGCGTTTCACATCTCAGGTGCTCACAGCTACGTCTACTCTTCGTTATAGTAACTCAGCAGGAAGTGTTTCTGGCCCTCCTCCTGGTGGACCAACAATTGAAATTGATTGGTCTTTCAATCAGGCCCGATCTCTCAGGTGCATTTCTCTTATTGTGAAAACTACAACAACAACGATTCTTGCTACGAGTACCAAATAACTTTCCTTCTGAATTGCTAGTGAACAAAGTTCCTAACTTGTTAGGAAATTGTAAAGTAAACTGCTGTTTTGTCATAGAACGAGACGTTTAACTATTTGAATGATAACAGGCGTAATCTATCAGCTAGTGGACCGAGACCTAACCCTCAGGGTTCCTACCACTATGGACTGATTAACACCACACGCACAATTAGACTTGCGAATTCAGCTCCAATCATCAATGGGAAGTAAAGATATGCTATCAACAGCGTGTCATTTGTTCCAGCAGATACACCACTTAAACTTGCTGATCACTTCAATATTCCCGGGGTCTTTACCCTTGGAAGCATTCCAGATAGCCCTACTGGATCGGGTGCTTACCTTCAGACATCCGTTATGGCTGCTGATTTTCGAGCTTATACTGAGGTTATATTTGAGAATTTAGAAGACAGTGTGCAGTCTTACCACATTGATGGACACCATTTCTTCGTTGTGGGGTGAGTTTCTAAAGTTGCAAGACACTAACCGTAAAAATCTCAAATAGAATTCTTGTAAGTTAATAATTAATGTCAAATTCTTTATAACAGAATGGGTCGAGGAGAGTGGACTCCTGCAAGCAGATTAACATACAATTTAAGGGACACAATTTCTCGTTCAACAGTTCAGGTAACTAATATTAACTTCAATGTTCAAATAACATCTTTTGGACTAATTTGTGAAATTAAGCACTTAGTTGGCTTGCAATTTCGATCTATTTTGATAGGTATACCCAAAGTCCTGGACTGCACTATACATGCCATTAGACAATGTGGGAATGTGGAATATAAGGTCTCAGAATTGGGCTCGTCAATATTTAGGACAACAATTTTATCTGCGAGTTTATTCACCCGTAAATTCATGGAGAGATGAGAATCCAATTCCCAGCAATGCTCTTGTTTGTGGAAGAGCATCAAGCTGAGGAACTTTGCACCAGTAATTGGAACAACCTGCAGATTTGTTACATGAAGGTGACTAGCATCATATTACATTTATATCTACTGTCTAGGCTTCAAGTAGTTGTTACCAATATTGTGCTCATTGAAATAATTCAATTCTTTATTTTATTAAGTTATCTTTGGTTCAAGTGATTTTTCCCTTTTAAGACTATTTAGCTGTTGTTTTTGTTGTAAATTGTTATAAATGTAATTTCCTTGGTTTTCAAATGTTTGGACCAACGTAAAAGACTAGCATCACACATTGACAAGTAATTAAGAACAATTAATATATGCCAAAAAGTATATATGTTAGGACCTACTTTTATCTAAAACAATTAATATGCAACTTTTTCAACAGGTCAACTTTATTTGTACATTTACTTAGTCCGTTTGATCATGCGAGATGAAATCATAATTTGAAATCAAGATATGAAATCATGAGATGACGTTGACATACAATTTGAACTTTTTATGTTGTATGTTTTCTCATAAACATAAAAATTTCATAAGTTGTGAAACTATTAATATTGTCCCAATTAATTATACAATCTTACCAAATAAGCATAAGCTTATAAAATCACATAATACACTATCACAAAGATATTCTTAAAAAATACAATATTTATTAATTAAACTTTAATTCGATAAGAAAATAAAATTAAACATAATTAGTTGTGGTGTACTAGTCTTCATTATAATCTTTTCACATAATACGAACAATCTTTTCACGTTGAACTTGCATTTCTCGTTTCATATGACTAAGAAGACGAACCAACATTGTTACTTTGAGCCATTTGTTGGTAAATATATTTGATAAAAAAAAAATGATTTTGGTGAATATAAATGGTAAAGTAGAAATTGATTTGAAGTAATAATAAATTCTATGTGAAAGTTTATAGAAGATGACTTTTAAAGAAGAAGAAGATGAATTGAAACAGAGTAGTATATTATTTCTTCAAAAAATTACTTTACATTGAGACTCTAGTCTTGTATTTATACACATACTCATCCCTCTAATTGTTTCTTGAATGTAACTAACTTTTAACTAACTAACTTTTCCTAACTGACCAACAGTGTTCTAACTATAATTTGGACCTTTCCTCTTTTGCTTCTTGAGTTCTGTTAACACTCCCCCTCAAGCTAGGAGAGACAAATATATTTAGAACTCCTAGCTTGGACAATAAGAACTCATGTTGTGCTTTGGTTAGACCTTTTGTGAGGAGGTCAGCAGGCTGGTTCTGAGTAGGTATGTAGCTCACACTGATTAGTCCTTGTTGCAGCTTCTCTCTAATAAAATGACAATCGATTTCAATAT